GGAGATTGATAACGAAATTGAGCGCTGATGTAAATTTTAGACCTGAATTCTATATTATGGATTCATATAGCTAGAAGAGCTTCTGGCCTATAATTGGGATCTTTCTGGATATTTTTTTCGATTTTGACCCCAGAACTCCCAAATTTGTCTTACTGCCTTAGCTTATTTTATAAGTTTATTTGTATTAGTAGAAAAATCCAATTATTCAATATTAGTTACACAATATCTTGAAATATTAGCTTAGTATCTAAAACTTGAAGAAAAGTTGAAATATGCTTCATTTATTAAAATTGGTAATAATGAAAAATGAAAAGGTTACTATTTGACATTTGATGAGATACTTAAAACATTTGGAATCAAGTTTGTGAAATAAAATATTACCAGAAATGTAATTGATGCTAATAATTTAAAGTTATAAGTTAAAGCTGCTCAGTATAAATAAAATCATATAGGAGTCTTATTATCAGAATATCTCAATGATTCTTATGGATCAATTGGATAGAGAGCTATAAATAAATATAAGATGGTTATGTAAAACTATATAAATGAACTTTTATTAGTATTTGAGTATTCTGATGATTATAATCATTATCAAAATTCTTTATAAAATACTATCTTTTCTGACTATATTATAGCAGATAATATTACATATCTTGAAAATTGTTTTTCTAATGAAGTTTTAAGAATAGAAAAAATCTTCTTATAAGATGTTATTTTAATGCAAAAAATAATAAAAACAGGAAGAAGAAAATTAGGAGTTGTAAGATAGAAGCCTAATAAACTAAATTCTAAAAACAAAAAAAAATCTTATGCATCAATATCATATTTAAATGCAGAAAATTCTAACAGAATTATTTTAGGACAGATATCAACCAATTTAACCAATTTGAAAAATGTATTACAAAATGATTTAAACATTCAAATAAGCTACCAAAAAAAACTAAGACAAATGCGCTGTAAAATAAAATCTAAAGAAAATGTATTTTTAAAACTATTAATAATATGTTCTGAATATTTAACCAATAACCAAATAAATCAAATTAAAGAGGAATTATATATCTTGCAATAAGCGTTATAAAAATAAATAAAATACAATAAAAATATGAATAAAATATTATATTAATTCATTTTATTAAAGTAAATTTGGATTTTAATACATAAATTATTAGAAATTTTATTATATAAAAATATTAAGCTAGTTTTTGTTAAAAAGTACTATTACATATGATACTACCAAAAGATTTGTTAAAAATGGAAAACATTAGATATTTTATTATTGGTTTAAAAGCTAATAACAACAGAATCTCAAGCTTTAGTGCTAAAAAATAGGTAAAATAACCAACATAATAAAATATCACAAAAGGAGCATAAAGGGTAAAATTTTCATTTCTTTTAAAAAATAAAATTCGTTACATTGTGATTGAATGTTTCAAAACCGAGTGTTACACAAAATGTTTAATGATCGACGCTCCAAATTGGACATGCATACTGACTATATTGACTGATATCTTCATTTAGAAATTTACAATATGGAACATTTGATGGGAGGGTTGCTATTAAAATCGAGTTACGAACATAGTAAATCATATGATCCGTAACGTGATTTTAATAGCTTACTTCCCATATGGGTTATTTGCTATTTATTAAATCAAATATGATTTTAATAGCAAATCCTCCATATACCGTTGTTAGATTCAATCATCACTATAGTTAGAATTAAACATATTAATTAATTCAGGAAAGTACATGAGTCTACTCGTATAAAAAGCTTGCGGATGGCTTTGCTGATGAAATTGATTTTGTTCCGAATATAAAAATTTTTTCTCTTCAGCAACATCAAATTGATGAGATATTTCCGACGGATTTGGATCATCACAGATAGAAATTACCCAACTTCCTAATAAATCATATAACATTGATGCTGTAGGACGTTCTAACGGATCGGGATGCCAACATTTTGTCATTAGTTGAATGTAAGCATTCGGAGTTCCATCAATAATTTCAGGACGAAGACCAAAGCAAATTTCCGTGGCTAATTCCGGATCATGTGGCCTGTTACACCATGGACGAATACCTGTGGAAAGTGTCCACATGATGATTCCAAAACTATAAATGTCTGAAGCTTTCGTTGGCAGATTTCCTTTTAAGATTTCCGGAGCTACATAAGGAAGAACTCCATATATTTCATTTGAATTTTTCTTATCAACTGGACCATGTAATCCTACATCAGAAATGTGAGTGTCAATCGAATCTAGATCATTCTCAACTAATAGGTTACCCCCATGAAGATTTCCATGAATCAAATCAGATTCATGAATATGATTAATTCCTCCACTTATTTCCCAAAGCATCTCAACAATATCTCTCCAAGAAAGTATTCCATGTACTTCCTCTAGATAAGAATGTAAATCTTTGTTCTTGTAATATCTCATAACAAACATGTAATTCGAAGTAGGATCTTTAGATATTCCAAAACAATCCGCTAAACTACCGCTTTGTAAACAATGATGATATCTGTAGAGCTTTTATATAAACTTTATTAAATACAAACCCCTATTTAAAGGTAATAATTACTAAAATTATGACCCACTTGTTTCAAATATTCTTCACTCATATTTTGTGAATTATTTAATCTTTTAAGGGCAACTTTTATAGGTCCGCTATGTGTCCATTGTTCAGCACCTTCATCCCAAGTCCATCGAGGACCTTTCATCCAAATTGCTGAATAGATTGTACTAAAGGCTCCACCTTTATTTATATTCTCAATAAGATCAAATTGCTCAAAATCGATATATTCTAAATAATCAACATTTCCAGCCGCATTTAATTGTGTATGTTTAATAAAATTATCAATATTAAGGTCGTTACTAGTCCAATTTCTAAAATTTTCTTTAAAGGTATTAATTTCACAATCTTTACACCATCCTAGACTACTTCTCACCTTTCCACAATCATTACATTTACCAAAAGTTGAATCAGATTGGTTCAATTTTTGTTGAGAAGACATGATTGATCGATTATGAATTCAGTCATTGTTCGAATGCTCAAATGAAAGACCAACTATCGACATTTTATAGTTTTTTTTTCTCATGCTGAGTAGGGGAGAAAAACAAGAATAGATTTTAAAAATCTATTCTTGTTTTTCTCCCCTACAGCCCCTACACACGCTAATATGATGTAAATTCCTTAAATTTAATTTAAGACTGACGTAATTTATGACATATTCTCGTTACACTTTTAATTAAGGTTAATCAATTGCGCCACCTAATTTATCAAATGTGCCAACTACTCAGTGAAACTGACAAATAATACAGCCAACTTATGCACATAAATGCACCTTTTTATCTGGTCCCAACTTGGACCTGTGCTAAATGCAGGTTTTTATATATACTCCCTGTAAATAAAAAAATTTTATTGTCCGGAGCGAAGCGTAGGACTATATATGTTTAGGAGTGTTAGTGAAAAGATCTCGGTCACGTGAATATTTCCGTTTGTCACGCCGCGTGTACGATAAGATCAGTAAATAAAAAAAAACAAAAAATATTTTGTTTGTATTACCTTAATTTTAGATTAATATTATATAGATTTATATATATATTTTTATAATGATCAATTGGAACATGTTAACAATAATATTAACAAAAAAAGTTTCCCATTGTGAATTAAATTTTCTGTACTCAATTTTTTTTGGCCCAAACCTGTTTTATCCAAACATCTTTTAAAACTCAAATCATAAATAACGTTTATATCACGCAGCAATTCAAAACCAAAATTTTTTATACAATAACATAAGCTATTTTTCTTTCGGTCATATTAATATTTAGCCTGAATCATCAAAACAAAATCCGTTTTTTACACAATCTTTTTTCTTGTTATCTACACAATTGTCAATCTTTTTTTTTTTTTAAAAAAAAAATATCATGCATGTCATATATGGTCAATTTTTTTTTTTTTAATATAATTAATAAAAGCTGCAAGACCGGATAGTCTCGGGTTTTAAACTATAATCAATAAAAGCCGCCAGAAAGTGAAAAAAAAACCTAGTTTTTTTTTATTAAAAACGTTCATTCATATGTGAAACTCTCAAATGACGAAATTAATTTTTTTTACTTTAATTTCGTTTTACATTTTTTTTTTTACTTTTTTTGACTTCTTTTTCACACGCGAATAATTTTAGTTCGCCGCTTCGATATTTATGATTAAAAAACCCCCAGATAGTATTGGAGTTTTTTTTTTTTTTTAAAAAAAAATAACATGTCGTCATATTCATTCACATGTGCAACTCCAACTCGTAAATGACGAAATTACTTTATGGCCCAGGCCCACTACGTCACAAAACTTAATCTCATGAATATTCAGCTTATTAAAAAATATAGCAACTACGAAATATGAAATATTCTTGGTGGATATTCTTTTTGTCGCGCCCATTTGCATTCGTAATACATTAATTTCGTCTTATTACAATTTTTTTTTTACTTGACTTCATTTCACACGCGAATAGTTCTTCCAATTTTAATTCGCCGCTTCGATCTTTATTACATATATATTTATTTATTTATTTGTTTTGATAAATAGTAATTTTTTTTTGCCCAATGAATGAGTCACCATTAACAATAAACATCTTAAGTATTGTTTAATTTGTTTTGAAAAATAGTATATTTTTTTGCCCAATGAATGAGTCACCATTAACAATAAATCTCTTAAGTATTGTTTAGAATGTAAATACCCTTTTACTGAGAGTAATGAATTGATTAAGACTGACGGAATATAAATATGGTTGATATTTATTTCATTTTACGATTTGTCTTTCCATATAATTCCTTATTCAAAAAAAAAATGGACTTATTAAATAACAACAAACCTTTAATATATGATAAATGTTTCAAATGCAAAATAAAAACGACTTCACAAGCATGGTGCGAAAATTGCGATATTGCAAAAGATACACACAAAAGGACTAGCGAAAATTCGATAATAGATCAACTAAGCGCCGAAGAAAGTTTGGAAGATTTAGAATGGATTGATTTCGACCAATTTGATTTCGTTGAAAGTTTTAATAAACACTACGAAAAAGGGAATTTATATTCATACCTCGACGAATTTATGGGAGTTCGTCCATGGAAAGACATTATAGAGATGTTATGGTGCATATCGGCTGGTCTTCGTTCCATTCATGAAAATGATCTCGTACATGGAAATTTACACGGAGGAAATATATTAGTTGAAAACAAAGGAGATTCAAAAAACATGCGTATTTCTGATGTAAGATTACATGGTCCAGTTGATAAGAAAAATTCAAATGAAATATATGGAGTTCTTCCATATTTAGCTCCGGAAATCTTGAAAGGAAATCTGCCAACGAAAGCTTCAGATATCTATAGCTTTGGAATCATCATGTGGACATTTTCTGCGGGTATCCGGCCATTTTGTAATAAACCACATGATTCTAGATTAGCTGTTGAAATTGGTGTTGGTATTCGTCCTGAAATTATCGATGGAACTCCAGAAATTTATATTCAAACAATGACTCAATGCTGGAACTCCGTTCCTTCAATGCGTCCAACCGCAGCTCAATTATGTGATTTATTAAGAAGTTGGTCTGATCCTAATAAATCTGAATCATTTGACCAAGTTGTAATCACTGAATCTCGTCAACAGATCCATCCTCGCGCTTATTATACAAGCAGAACCTTACATTTTTCCGAGGAGGTAAATGTCTTTCTATGTTGAAGAGATTCTCTTTTTAAGGAGGGAAAACCCCCTGTTTGAATGCTTGTATCATGTAAACTAAGATAACAATTAAGAATTACATAAGCAAACTTCCTAATTAAGATTGTATAAATTAATTAATAAGCAAACTAATTAAGATTATAATTTATAAAACCTATCATACCATATTACGTCATACTAAAATGCTTTTTCAATGGGGCAATTATTTATTAAGTTTATCACAATGTTAAATTTAATAAATTATTAAAAATGTGCCAGTAATTTGGACAAATTAAAATAATCAAATGTCAATAATCACAAATTTTTAATTTAAAATTCTTTGAGAAGTTGTTATTTTATATATAATACAGTATCAAAAGTTTGGTTGGTATAAAAAAAAAAAATTTAACAAAATAGTTGATAATGATGAACTCGGAATGAGAAAACATGAGATCTTCGTGAAATTGAACTGGTTACCGTAAAGAATTTTCAGTTGAATAAAATCTAGCGCGAGAACATTTTTACCAAATGTTTATTTAATAAAAAGTCTCTAATAAACTTTTGTTTTTTTTTTTTTGATATGATATTATAAAATATTATTTTTAATAATATATATTTTAGGATTTACAAGTGAAGGTATAGAGACTATTTGAAGGCAATATAAATACTATAGATACAGATTTCATATTTGGCGTAAAATTTTAATTATAAAATCATAATCTTTTAATCTTTAAAGGTAAATTATATATCAAACTTTATAATGATTTATAATCAATGTATTTTTAAAAACTACAACAATAATATTATTCTTTATATTATTCATATGGATGGCCATTGCTGTTTATAATATTAAAATTGAAAGTTATTATCAAAAATGTAGACATATCAGGATAGAAAAAGATTTTGAATTATTATTAGAAAATTAATGCTAAACTTCATGTTAAATTTAACGCGAACATTACGAGATATTTTATTTAATAGTATTTCGATATATGAATAATCATATTAACTAAAGAGAGAGAGATTTTTTTATATTTAAAAGCTAATTTTTAAAATTTCTGATATGCAACCAAAATTGACTATGTTTCTAATATATAATTTAAACTAGTTAAGCTATATCAGATATATTATTTATCGTCAAAACATTTCTATTTTTGGTAAAAGTGATTTACTTTAATATATTTGGTATATAAGTAACAAGCAAAACAGCAATTAAAACAAAGATGACATGCTAAACCATCATCTAATGTAATTGAATATTTTTTACAGAATATCACATCAGTTTAACTTCAACTTCAGGTTTTAAGAAATAATATTATTAAAAAATAGCAATTTGAATTAGTTTCTTTATATGAACAAACTTTAGATACATAAAAACAATTAGTAATAAGTTTAATAAGTTACACAATACTGTAAAAGAATCATTTTAGAGGGTTTTTTAAAGATCTAGTGTTTACTATAGGTTTAATAAATATCTAATAAATATTTAATCAAAAATGCTTATTAATTGATACATAAATAATAAATAATTTATAAATTTTATTATGGAAAAATGGAAAATATTTGGCTATTAAAATTAATTTTTATGAAACTATAATAATTTTTTAGTTTTAGTTTAGATTTAGAATTAGAAAAATAGTTTTTTACAATGTATTTTTTTTTAATATATATTATCTGCACAGATTTTCAAACCAGTATTACTTCCTTTTAAAAAATTTTCTTTATATTCTATGATTCTCTTAAAATTTAATAAATTGATTTATTTTTTTTAATTTTTTTTTATTTAAATATAAATATTAAAAAAAATGATAGATATCAAAATAGTAATTTTATGATCCTAAAGAATTTCTTAATATTATTACTTCTCAAGCATTTGAATATTATATCAATTAATAAATTCAGCTGAAAAATATGAAAAAAATAAAATAATTTTTAACATAATTCATCAAAGCAATATTTAAATGTTATAGAAAAAGATAAAATTATAATTTATGTAAATTTATTAAACTTTATTTCAATATAAAAGCATAAATTCTTTAAAAACTTAATAATTTACTGTTAAAAATCTAAAAATAAAAATATAATCTAAAAATTTTATTTTTGAATAGCCTATTAAATAATAAAGAATATTTTAAAATAATTCAAATTTTTTAATCTACCAAACACATAAATTATAGTAATCTATATTCAGTTTCTTATTATATTTTTAACTAAATATTTATAATCAAAGATGTCATTTTAATAGTTTCTATTTATAATATAAAAATAGTAATAATTTTCTATGAAAATTTAAAGAAAAATCTTAAATTTAATTTAACTTAAATTATAAAATAAAAGATTTTATTATTAATTATAACAATCTAAAATAAATAAAATTCAATTTTTCTTTTTTTCATTTCACTTAATTAAGAATTAGATATTTATTTTACTAACCTTTTTCTTTTCACACAGATTTTTAATTATTATTATATTATATAGAAATTACAAATAATAAGCTTATATAATTTAATCAAAATATTTGAATCTTATAAATCAATTTCTATTTTTTTACATATCTAAATAAATTAAATAAATCTTAAATATAAATTTTCAAAACTATTAGAAAATTATAAAAAATATTATATTGTTTTATATTAGTTATAGGATATCTAACTTTACAATTTTAATATATATCCTTTTATTTATTTAGACTATAAATTTTATTAAAAAAATTTAAGAAAAGAAAATTTTGAATTATATTAAAAAAATTTGAATTTAAAAAAACATTTAACTTTTTTATTAGCTTAAATATTTAAACTTTTTATTAAACGATCATTTAAAGATAAAATTATAGAATTTTCTTCTCATTTAAATCATTGAGGTAATAGATTTCATTAACTTAAAAAAGCATATGGGCTCTTTGCAATAGAAAGGGAGAAATTACCAAAAAAAAATTTTTTTTTGTTTTATAAGCTAAATATTATTTTTTTAATAAAATAAGTCCAGATTTAATATTAATTCAAAAAAATTTTTTTGGTAGTTTCCTCCCTTTCTATTACAAAGAGCCCATATTATCATTATAAAAAATAACTATATATTCTTTGAAAAGTGAATCATTAGAAAGATCATAATAAAATCTAAGACCTAATTCAATTGATTAAGTAATTTTATAGTAACTATTAACATATTCTTATACTAAAAATTTGAAGTAAATCTTTTTATTTCTGCTGTTTCTTGGTATTTTGTTAGGAAGCAGAAAGAATTTTTTATTAAAATAGTATAATTATATTTATTATAAATCATTTAAAAATACAGTAAATGTAAAAATAAAAAATAATAATTATATATGCTTTTTATTTTTAATATTAATAAATAGTTTTGATTGTATTTTACAAAATATTTAATTAATATTAGCTTTTTTTTTTATAAATTTAAAAAAAAAACTTGTAAATTATTCTATTTATACTTATATTTAATTTAAAATTTAAGATTTATAGATTTTGAATCAATTTTTAAAAATAATTAATATTAATTTTTTAAAATAGAAATAAATTTTAATAAAGTCTTTATTAAAATTACTTTTGATTAATTATTTTTAAATTATTTTATTAGTATATTTTTTATAAAATTAATAAATTATTTAAATTTCATATGCCAATAATACAAATTCAAATTGTATTATATAAAAGTTTAATGTAATTTTAATTAATAGTTATTTAGATATTTTATATAAATTATATTATATAAATAATTTTAATTACTGTATAATATAAATTCATTTTTTAATAACCAATTATTAAATTTAAATAAAATTTTAACATATAGTAGCTTGTGAATATATTAATAACATATTAAATTTAGTTTAATTTAAATTATTAGTTCTTTTTTTAAATTTGTAATAAATATAATATTTAAAGATTTAATATTTATTACATATTTTAATTTTATTATTAGTAATATTTTTATATAAATAATTTATAAACTAGTAATTCAAATAGCTAAAATTTTGATATTTGATATTTATAATATGATTTTATAATACAGTTCCTGGTAAAAAGAATAGTAGTAAATATACTGATCTATATTCAGCTATAATATCTCCACTTTTTTAATTTTAAACTATTGTTAATTTTACCAAATCAAATAATGGAATCTTAATTTTAAAAGATAAGTTGTAAAAATTATTTGTTATTTTTATTTTTAATTTTATCTGCAAAATGATGCTATCTTCTTTTAAAATATAACAAAACTTTATTAAGTTACTTATGCAGTAAAACATCTGTAATGCAAAGAAAGTTTCACAAAATTAGGAGTTCATATGAGTGATATGCTAGTATTTTGTGTAAAATTAGCAATATTTCTATAGAACACTTATCTGGATAACTGATGAAACCTAAAAAATACAGCTAATTGAAAATTTTTGTAGAACAGATCATTTCACTACAGCTGATAAAATTAAAGCAAAGTAGAAAGAAAATGATTATGAACTTAAGGTCAGTGAGCGTATCATACATGATGAGCTCGCAAACCTCATTTATATTTTTATTTTTATAAGAAAAATGACTGTAATAAACTTCTCAAAACATTCAGCATAATTTAAATAATCGTCTTTTAGGGTAGATTCTTTCTAGACTTTTATACAGCCCAGATCTAAATCCTATTGAGAATATATAGGCTGTTTTAAAAAGAACTATTGAGAGAAAGATCAAGGATAAGGTGGCAAAAGATAAATAAATCTCTTAGAAAATTTTCTTATCATAATCTAGTAGTAATAAGATAATCTTGTTAATGATATATTATTTCAATGCATTAAAAGTATGCCAAATTAGATTCGATGCAGAAGAAGGTCATATAAAATATTAATTATATAATAAAAAATGTTGAATTAGTATTACTCTTTAAATAATAAAAAAAACAATTGCAATTAATAATAAAAATTTTATATACCTTTAAAAAATGTGTTTGTCATTCTTTTTGCTAAAGACTGTATATTAAAATTTTGTTTAATTTGAATGCTGAATGATAAAATAAATAACTTATGTTTAAACTTGTGATTAAAATTTATAATTTAAAAATTTGTA